TATTTTAACTGTATTAGTTTCCAACTTTAAAAAATGTGTAGTTCTTCCTCTTTTAAAAGCTCTATGACATAGTTGGGACAGGAATTCTATATCCATTCTGCAGACAAGGAAAGCGACATCAGGAGCAGCTAAGAGATAAATATCTAAAGTCACAGTAAATTGCTGATCCAGGATTAAAACTCAGATCATCTGTCATCTCCTAGTCACAGTGCCTCAATGATCACACTAACTTGGAAATGTTAATTTCATCACCAGTTCTAGAATTCAGTTAAATTAGTGAAGTGTTACCGAATTTTATGATCACAAATGTCATCTGACATTTAGTCTGTGTTTTCTTTTTAGCCTGTGCCTCTGTAGGATGCAGTGAAGACCTCGGAAGAGACAGCACAAAACTGCACTTGATGAATTTTACTGCAACATACACAAGACATCCTCCTCTCTCACCAAATGGCAAAGCTCTTTGTCATACCGCATCTTCCCCTTTACCAGGAGATATAAAGGTTTTATCAGAGAAACCAGTCCTCCAGTCATGGACAGACAATGAGAGATCCATTTCTAATGATGGTACATGCTTTCAGGAACACAGTTCTTATGGCAGAAATTCTCTTTCTCTGGAAGACAATTCCTGGGTATTTCCAAGTCCTCCTAAATCAAGTGAGACGGCATTTGGGGAAACTAAAAGTAAAACTTTACCTTTACCCAACCTTCCACCACTGCATTACTTGGATCAGCATAATCAGAACTGCCTTTATAAGAATTAATTTGGAAGAGATTCACGATTTGACCATGAGGACACTACCTCTTTCAGTGGTCCTCCCAAGAAATTATTTAACAAACTGAAAGGGGATTTTGATTAAAATTTTGCAGAGTTCTTCAGTAACTATATTTGAACATACTGTACAATATTTACAAAAACCAACATAGTTGGTTTTCTAGTATGAAACAGCACCCTCTAGCTCCATATTCTAAGAATCCGAAATACACTACTCTACTAATTAATAAGTAAACTTAAGGTGTTTTAAAAAGAGAACTCTGCCTTCGATAATTGTAAAATTTTGCCTCTCAGAAGAATGGAATTGGAGATTGTAGACGTGGTTTTACAAAGTGTGAAATGTCTAAATATCTGTTCATGAAAATAAAAGGAAACCATGTATGTTGCTTCAGATTGCATAATGGAACAAATGGCAATGTGAATAGGTTACATTTCTGTTGTTACAATGCATAAAGATACTGAAAATATAATGAAATAAAAGCATCTTAGGTTATACCATCTTTATATGCTATTGTGTTTCAATATTTAAGATTTAAAGTGATTTTTTTAGTCACCATGTTTTGTTGATAAAATTTTAGAATGGAAGTTTGAATTCTAAGACTTGAAACAACCTGATCATTGAAGCCAACTTTGTCCCAGTATATTCCTTAAGTCCTAATTGGGGAAAAAAAAAAAAAAAGGTGAAATAGTTGAAAACCTCTGTTAGGTGTAAACAAATGATTGTTAACCCTACACACCATTCAATAAGTAGTAGAAAGAGCATCACACAGATTTCAGTCTAATCTGCCCCTTCAGTGGGCCATAATATAAACATAAATGTATGTGTGTAATTATAAAAAGTCATTTTCTTCAAAGGGACTACAACTGCTCGTGTAGAGCAGCTTCTAAATTGTTAGACTTTGTATTGAGATGTAATATATTTATTGAGAAAGTGATTTTAAATTAGAATTTTTAATCATAGAAATCAAAGTTTGGGCTGTATTGATATTGTCAATCATGAAATGTCCACACACTCTTATTCTAAGTGGCCAATTACTTGTAAATAAAGAAGGAAATAACAAAGATGGCTTCACATGGAAATTTATCTAAATTCTTTCAGGGTGGAGATTTTCTTGGTTCATACACCTTTTGCCTGAGTTAAAGTATTTCAGGTAGGAGGACTTTATCCTTTTTGATAGACAGTTTCATATATCTTGAACTCAAAAGAGTATCTCAGATCTCTTCTACTATATTACTGAATAGCATACATACATAGACAGTGTTCACCATTCACCAGATATTTTTTTCTTTCTATTATCTTACACTTATTCAAGCTTGTCTGTGATTAATGGAATTGGTGTCAGATGCTGGAATTTATTCTGACCAATGAACATACTGACTCAGGGGAGTACAATCTCCTGCCAAGTAATAGAACCAAACCCAATATGCATAAAACAAATACAATACTCCAGGCTTTAGCTGAAGGAAGCAACTACCTGTGTAATAACAAAGCAGCAAAAACTATTTCTCATGTGGCTGCATAGGCTGTATATTGTATCTGATCTCTAATGTAGCTTACTGGTTTACCTTTTTTAAAACCAAAATTGGAAATTTTCCTTTGTAAAGAAAAAAAGTCTTATGAAATAATTGCTTGAAGAAATTGTTTAATTAAAATAAATTATTTTTGTTTGAAATTGAAGTGGATGTGAAATACTGTCCTTGCCTATATATCTCAAAGTCTGGTACTAATTGTTAGTTGTTAATATGATTCATATAATAGACATTTGTTAAACCAGCTTTTGAGTGGAGAAAATTATTTTCCATTTAAACAGTACAGTGATGATAGCTATCAAACAGGTGTACTAAAGTCAGTGACTGTGACAGTTTAAAGTGCCAGACAAATGATGTATAAGGTTCTTTAGTAAGGAAAGATTAACCAAAATTTTTTTACCCAGCTAGAAGTTTTTAAATGTACACTTGATCATCTCTGCTCTAGGTAAAATTCAAACAAAAAAAACAGTGGCCCATCTGTAGCTTATAAATCTATTTAAAATTGAATATGTTGACTTAAACTAGCTGAAACTTGCTCTCAAGAGCTTCCTTTGAATCTTTGTATTTCTTTTTATAAGGTTCAATTCAGTACATCCATAAATCGACAGAATGAAGAGAACATAAATAACAAAAAGCCACCTATTCCTTCCTCTTGCTCCCTTATTAGCTAAAGTAAAATTTACATCTGTAAGACTTATCGAGTTGCTGCCAAAATGGAACTGAATTCTTAAAAGCAGGAACGTGCCTATGTGAAACAGAAAACCAAAATAAATGGGAAAATTCAGACTTGAAGAACTGAATCATGTGACAACAAAGTACTGATCTTAATTCAGAAAGGCTACTTGGAGAAGGTGTATGTTAAGGGGCAAAAAACCTGTGGGTTATCACATATTAACAGAATAATATCAACAGGCACCCATAAGCAAGCAAGACACAACAGGCAGATGTACCAGGTGAAAAAAATCTTCAGTATGGATACGCATGGGTATTCTGAAGCCTACAATGAATGGTTTAGTCTTTGACAGGAGGATGAACATATTATTTATATTATATAATCTAATTTGGCTTCTATGGGGAAAGCAACATATACGTAAGTGAATTTTCTACATGAAGTGGGCTACTTCTGATTTTAAAGCTATAAAATAGTCACAGATTGTATATTTCACTAGCTTCTTAAAGTAACCTTATCTCTAAAAACAGGTAACTTCCTGTGCTCTAGGAAATACACCAATACCAAAGGTCAATGTGGAAATATGGGCAGGTTTGCCCCTATGCTGTGTGGTCTTTAGATTTCTGTATTTGCTTTGCTTTTGTCTGCTCTAGTAATCTCCCTCCTTTTGATCTGTGGCCTGGGAAAATGTGGTTTCTTTATATTTCAAATAAGAGTAAAATAGTTTTTTGAGTGGTTCACTTAAGAGTAAAGTATGGAACTTGAACATCTATTGATTCTTCAGTGTCCTATTTAAGTTCTTTCTTAAAAAAAAAATCTCTCAGATCTATTTCATGGGATTAGGGAAAGTTAAACCTTGTCTTAGTGGGTAGTAATTTCTATTTGTGCTTTTAATGAGGATTGTGTGAAAATATACATAAAATTTACTTATCTTGAAACTAGTTACAATGGCTGTGGAAGAGTTAACAGCTCATGGGGAAAAATAACTTTTAATATAAAAGTTCAAATTATTAAATTGGGACACAAATTTTTTATACTACTTGCTAAGTCCATTACTATGTTACAGGATGGTAATTCACGTAGAAAGATAACTTTTCAAAATGAAAGATTAAAGGACTCAGTAGCCAAGTTATCAGGTTAAGAACATATGTTTTAGAAAATTCTACATCAAAGATGTAAGTAAAATTAATTCATATAAGTATCTCTTTATCTATGGTTCTGCTATGGTTTGAGTGTGTCCCGCAAGAGTTCATGTGTTGGAAACTTAATTGCTAATTTAACAGTACTAAGAGACTTTAAGAGGTAATAGGGTGATGAGGGTGGAGCCCTCATGAATGGATTTATGCCGTTATTGCAGGTATAAATTCTCAAGAGAGCGGGTAGTTACAAAAGCTTGCCCACACTTGTTCGTCCTTCTATTTTTTCACCCTGTTATGTTTTGATGCAGTATGAAAACCCTTGCCAGAAGCTGCTGGCAAATAAACTCCAGAACTGTAAGCCAAACAAATTTTTCTTATAAATTACCTGGTCTTGGGTATTCTCCCATAGCAACAGAAAATGGACTAAGACTGTTTCCAAATGAGCCTGTACTACTACTAACAGTAACTACCAATATAAGAGCATCCACCAGGTCTGAAGCACTGTCTTACACGCTGTACGTGTAGCTGCTATATGCAATACTCAGTACATCCTCACAAACTGTATTAGATTTACTTCCACAGTTGTATAGCTAATAAGTGGTAGAATCAGGAAGGATTCTGGTTCATAGCCATCCTGCTATACTGCCTAGTTATTATTAACACCTTTGAAGGTTGTCCATTCCTGCTTTTCTTTAGTTTTGGTTCCCATGATTAGCCATTAGCCTATACATTGGAAGAAAAGTAATATAAGGACCATATTGGACTGTAAAAAATCAGTGTCACTGTTATAGAACTATAGTTGTGGAAAAACTTTCAAAAGGTCCAGAATGACCAGGAAAACCATATCCCACTTCAGTAACTACTACCTTCCCATTTAAGAAACCAGAACTTTGAAATAAAATATTTATTTCAGTATTTCCATAATTAAAGCAAACATACATGCTTGAGTTCATTATTTAAGGTGATTTATACTATAAAATGACTTCCATGAATATTAGAGTTCCTGAATGTCATTTGAGTATCTGCCTACATGCTTGTTGGAACCTTCTGTAGCCTTTCCTTTGCAGGAATTCCAGTTTTTCTGAATTCTTCCCTTTCCTTCAGGTATTCCATTTTGCATTCTTCATGAAAGGCTGGATCATTATAGCTATGAGAAGGAAATGAAAATATTTTAAAGTAATTTTGCATGTGTTAAATATAAGCTTACTTTAATTACTAATATTCAGACATCTGGTTCATCAGGCTCAATCTTTAGAAGCACACTTTTAGTAATGGTTACAAATTCACTGTTAACTTTATGCTACCAAACTGAAGACCAAATCATTCATTTTTACATAGCACTGTCACAGGATAGAGCAGTGAGAAGCACAGCTCATGTCCTGGGAACCCACGGTGTAAAGGACAAGTAAAGACCGGATTAAGTGTACAAAATACTGTGACAGAGGTATGCCCCAGTGCACCATGGAAACAAGGAAGAAATGGGGATACGCTTGAGTCGTATTTTGAAAGACCAACAGAAATCCATATAGAAGGCAAGCGTGGGAAGGCACGTGGATGAGGAAAAACTAATGCATGAAAAACTGCAAGTAGATAGGTACCACTACAGCAGATTATGCACATAGGAGAAAAGGCCTGAAATGAAGATGGAATGGGCAAAAGTCAAATCATGATGTGCCCTTTATGCTATACGAAGAAAATCTATCCTGAAGAAAATGGGGCACAATTAATAGAGCACCTCACCTGTAAGATCAGTTTTGTGTCTTGGATGAATCTGACAACATGTGGCAGATAGGGCAAAAGGGGGCAAGCAACGTTAGAGCCAAGATAGCCAATAAATGGTTAAAATAATCCAGGCAAAAAATGATGAAGGCACAGGCCAAAAGAAGAGCTGAAGGAATGAAAAGGAAGAGAGAATGTGCGGGAAATTTCAGTAATCAACAGGAAATAACCAGTTAGAGTTAGGAGATAAGACTGTAGATACTAGACTACTGTATAATTCACAAAGACACGCAGGATGAGCAAAATGAGCCAAATTCATTTTTGGACTTGAACAAAGAAACAAATGTTACTTTCTATAGTAAGTAATTGAATTCATGGGTACAAACTAAACTTCCTCAGCTTTCAGAATGAGAAGAGAACTTGGGGAATCACCAACTTTAAGGAGTAGATTAAAAACGTTGAGAAGTACAGAGAGGTGTTGGGAAAATGGGAAAAAATATTATCAGGGAAGACAGAGGAGACTTTTAAGAAGGGATTGCCAGAGAGAGGTCAAATAAAAAAGAACAATTTGTTGGATATGTCTACCATCAGCCCATTAGAGCCTTTAAAAAGAGCAGGTTCAGTGATGTAAGGATAGAAATCAGATTATAAATGAAGGTAAGAGGTAAGCAAAAACAATGTTTCAAAATGAGAGAGGATAAGCAGTTACATTCATTTCATGGAAATGTCAATAGTAATTAACAAAGAAGAACACCCTCTTATTTAAAGATGAACAAATACTATTTCTTAGTGTATCTGGGGACTCAAAGTCAAGTAAAATTTTCCCTAATAATTTTCCATTTACTTTCAGTTAATGTTACATCCACTGCTTATCTCTTCTAAGCAAGCAGAAACAGCCATCCTTCCTAGCCCTCTCCTCCCCTCAGATGGACTAGAATCTTTTATTTTCTTCTCGTATTTCTAGGGGGTGAGAGAGAGAAGGATATTCAAATGATTAATATTCAGATAAATAGTAACAAATACTAATCAAAAAAGAGCTAATATTGACTGAATACCTATCATGGTAAATGTGTTTACATACAGTACCTCACAATCACTCCATAAGGTATAATTATTCATTCTTACAATGAAGAGCCTGCCTAAGGTCACACGGCTAGCTAAGCTCCCACTGATGCAGAAGCTGAACCCAGGTTGCCCTCTGCAGTCTAGACTCCTGTCTACTCTGCTCTAGAGCTGCCCCGACTGGAGTGAAGGATAATATGTCAAACTAGCAATAACAATTATGATGACTGAATCTGAGATATAAAAGTTATTTAATCAATATATAAGACAGAATTTAACAATTCAGTCATACAAAAGTTTAAGGGATTCGTTTACTCAGTAAACATTTCTTGGAAGCACTCGGGAACAGAACTGAGAGAATATTAAGTCACAGAACGAAGTTTCACTCCTCTATGGTAAAGCACTGAGTACAATACCTAGACCATAAATAAGGGCTGCTGTTGATATTAACTTAAGAAAAAAAATCAACACTGATTATGTTTCATCATCTACAAATATAGCAAATGTAGAGATGAGTTTACGTTATCTCTAAAGTCTTTTCCAACTCCACCATTCTAAAAAAAGGTCTATAAGTTTATGTGTACGTATTTTATTTTTTTAAAAATGTAGGGTTCAGGTGTTCATTACTATTTTATTTAATCCCCTAAGACATGTATCATACTGACATACACACTGCACAGGCTAGAGAAATTAAAGGAAATAAAGGCTTACCAAAACTAAGATCTCTCAACATTCAATTAACAATACTTGCTAAAGTATTCTACAATATTATCTGTCAATAATGTGGGCGATAGAACTTGGGTGAATAAATCAGCATGTGAATTCAAAGAACTTCACACATTTTTACTTAGATTTAAGGAACTACAACAAAACATTAGTGCACATGATATTATAAAATTATTTTAAAAGTTAATTTGGTTAACTTCAAAAATCTAAATTTACCTTTATATCATCCATATGATTTATCTCAGCCTTCTAGGAGTTAAATTATATTAATCCAACAAATCACAAGGCTGGAGAAGGTCTCAGAGGTATTTTAATTCAGTTATCTTCACAATAGAATAAACAAATATCAGTCTGTACTATATTTTACAGATCAGACTGTTCATGAAAAAAGATTTGTTAAATAGTGAAAAATCATATATTTTTGTCTGCTGACTTCATCTTTTTAATTAGATACAATGCTGACAAAATTTGAAAAGACTCATAAATATGTTGCATTTTTAAGACTATACTGGAACTTTAGACTCAGCCAACAATATGATAAATTTGGTATGGAGAGGTACAGAATATATTACATGTAATGAGTTAAGTAATATACTCGTATCTACTACAAATACACACAGAAGCACAAACATTGAGATAACTACTTACTAAGCAGTCAGACATTCTTTCAATGCAGAGTTTTCTTTCCGGCATTTTACTACCATAAGAACTCCAGAGTTCTTGCAACATTTGGTAAAATCTGAAATACATTTGGAAGGAAAAAATTACTTGTAATTACATCTGTATAAACACACACACACACACACACACACAATTATTTTTCTTTTTAGAAGAAAGCCTGTCGCCCAGGCTGGAGTGCAGTGGCATGATGATAGCTCACTGCAGCCTTGAACATCTATTACGTAGATTGGGCTTGGCACATGGTATCAAGCTCAACAAAAGACATGTGCACCAGTAAAAGGCAGAATAAGATGCGTGATATTTACTTTGTAGAAATAAATGTGATTTGAGAGGAGGGAGAGAGGACTTCTGAGATGAAGGGCAAGGAGACTTCAAAGAGACAGGATGTGGAGATAGGATTTCTAGTAGAGAAACAGTACAATCATGGGCTGCTTAACAATGAGGGTATGTTCTGAGAAATGCATCATTTGACAATTTCATCGTGGTCCAAAGATCAGAGTGTACTTACACAAACCTAGATGGTACAGCTGAGTAGACATCTAGGCTATTTGCTATAGCCGAGGCCACAAACCTGTACCATATGTTACTGTACTGAATACTGCAGGCAATTATAACAGAAAGGTAAGTACTTGTGTATCTAAACATTTCTAAACATAGAAAAGGTACAGTAAAAATACAGCATTATCATCTTATGGAACCACCATCATATATGTAGACTATCGTTGATCTAAACATCGTCATGCAGTGCATGACTGTATATTCCAGGAGAAATACCAAGAGTTGCCTCCTCCTTTGAAGGGGAATTGTTTGCAGACATTGGTATCTGTTGTCTAGTCTCTGCATGTCTTCTTAGTACCTGGCAACAAAAGCCGGTGGATTCCCACCTGATGGCATCAAGGCATCCCTTTGCTTTTACACAACCCTGCCATGGTTTCTTAACTTCTAATAACAGGACTCCCATTTCATTCCCAAGGAAGTTCTAGGTGCCCTAGATATTTCAAATGGCTTTCTGTCAAATTTCCACTCTGCTAATTTGCCCTTCAAATTGTATTGGCACCTTGAGTATTCTGCCTTTTCAGGACCACAAACCCAGAAAAGCCTGGTACCTATGCTACCCACAGCTGGGCCACTTACTACTCTGTCTTGTGTTTGCTTTGGGTCAGACTCAGTCTTGTCTTATCCCTTACACAGGACATATGCTTTGCTCCTCATCTCTTGAAGCTACTCTCGTGAACTACTCTGGTCCCTCCTTCTGACCACTGGCTGCTCTAGTTCCAGACTCTGCCACCCCTAATCTACTGTAAGTAAGCAATTATTTCCAAGTGAGATCTTAAACATCGTCCTTACAAAGAAGCTGTAGGCAAAAAAATAAAATAAAAATAAAAATAAATTGTGGATTGTGTTTTCTCAATGTTTTGTAACTTTTACAATACAAAATAATCAAGATTCCTCTCTTAAGCTATGTGTTATCCTTCCAGGTACTTGGGATTATACATTATTTATAATTGTCTTAAACAGATAATTTTAGGAATGTCTATGAAAATACATACTTATGTAACAAAAATACTTTTAAACCACAAGCAACCAAAAATGAGATTAAATGCATAAAAAATTCATTACGGACCGGGCACGGTGGCTCAAGCCTGTAATCCCAGCACTTTGGGAGGCCGAGGCGGGCAGATCACCTGAGGTCAGGAGTTCGAGACCAGCCTGGCCAACATGGTGAAACCTGTCTCTACTAAAAATACACAAATTAGCTGGATGTGGTGGCAGGTGCCTGTAATCCCAGCTACTCAGGAGGCTAAGGCAGGAGAATCGCTTGAACCTAGGAGGCGGAGGTTGCGGTGAGCCAAGATCGTGCCATTGCACTTCAGCCTGGGAGACCAGAGTGAGACTCTGTCTCAAAAAAAAAAAAAAATTCATTATGGGGGCTTTGCTGGGACAAGAGTCCTACAGCATAGATACCTGTATCCACTCACAACATCATAGTGATACTTCCAAGAAAATTGGTGGAATAGGAAGAAGGAACAAGGGATGCAAGAAACGACTTTAATTCAAATAACGTGCGTGATCACACGAAATGAGTTCATACATAGTATTCCCCTTCAAGGACACACAGGATTAGTTCCCTTTGGCTTCTGCTTCACTAGTCTCAGCAGTCCCAACATTTGCTCTCTTATTCCCAACCCAGCCTGTTAGACTCTAAATGTAATCAAGTATCTTCTTTATTCCAACTACAAATGTTCTTGTTCCTCTTGATGCAGAGGAGCTGGGCACACAGGTCAAATCAAACCAAGGGAAATTCCTTTGTGCCCTTTGACTAAGGACTCCCTAACACTCAAAAGGCAAAGCGGACTTACAGCCAGCTCTCCCGTGCAGATGCTGAAGGGTAGCCACATGGCTATCTAAAAGTCAATTATCTTTCATTCTGGAATGCCTATCTATTCTTACATGTTAATTTTTCTATTTACAGCATGATGTTAAGATCTACCTTTACATAAGCAAAGACTACGATCCCCAAATAAAAAGACATGGGCAATCCTCAAACAATATGTATATAAAGTTAATCCGGAATTAGCTAAATCTAGCTAAAGGCTTAAGAGAACTGCCATGCTCAATAGTGGTAATGAACCATTGGCTGCATTCCCCTGCACCACCTTACCTTTACTGTCACCTTACTATACCTATACCAGACCAGTTCAACCAAATAATGTCTGGAAGAAAGGTAATTAGATAATGAATTTTGCCTCATGAAAACACACTAGTTGACCAAACTTCAGGCCGTTTCTGGAAAACACAGACACAATGGCTGTTAGCAAATGTTTACTTTCTGAATTTAACAAACCCAATATTTTACCTTACTTGAGAATAGGATGCTTAGGCATTGCATTAAGATTTGTTTTGTTTACTATTAATAAAAATGTCCTTGGTAGGGAATTGGTACAAAATAGCATTTATGTGTTCTGATCACAATAAAGGCATAGTCTATACACTTTCACACTTGTCCATATCTCTTCAGGAGTAAATGTGACTGACCTGAAGCCTAAAGCTGTCTGTAAGGTTTCTGTCACTTGTTTAGCAACAAGATTTTAATGAGGACCTTTCTTTCATTCTACATTAGCATATATTCATAGAATAGTGATGCTGCTAATACTGCCAACTGATTTCTAAAATGGAATTCTGAAACAAATCCAATTTAAATCACTTCCATCTTTCAATTTATGTTAAATGTTAGACAGCTTGTATATCTGATTCTATCAATAATTTAATTACTATTAAAAACTACAAAAATCAAATTTCATTCAATTCAGTCTATCTTAAGATAATACAAAAGAATATCAATAAATAGTAGGAATGTGGAGAGATTGTTAAAAGTTATTCAAAGGTTTAAAGTAATGAGCACTCAATATATTTTTTCTTTAAGATATCAAGAACATAAAATTCTGTGTCTTTCTTTTGGAACCTCTTCATTTATCTTAAGGAAACCATGTAATATCATGTACCATTGGTAAAAATATTCTCTGAAGCCAGGCACGGTGGCTCACGCCTGTAATCCCAGCACTTTGGGGGCTAAGGTGGGTGGATCCCTTGATGCCAGGAGCTTGAGTCCAGACTGGCCAGCATGGTGAAACCCCATCTCTACTAAAAGTATAAAAATCAGCTGGGCATGGTGGCAGCGCCTGTAATCCCAGCTACTTGAGAGGCCAAGGCAGGAGAATCACTTGAACCCAGGAACAGAAGGCTGCAGTGAGCTGAGATCACACCACTGCACTCCAGTCTGGGCAATAAAGTGAGACTCTGCCTCAAAAAAATAATTAAAAAAAAAAATTCTTTGGATATAATTAAATTTGGCTCAAGATTATCTAGTAAAAAAAACACAAAGAGATAAAGTCTTCTCCTAACTTTAACATAATGGACAAAATAATTATTCACATTGTAATTAAGTACCAGTAGCCTATATAATTTCCAGTTTAACTATGATATGAAAAAAACTTGGGAGCTTCCATATAAAACAGTAACAGAAGTAATTTATTTTTTAACTCATTTAATTTATGGAACTTCCAGATATACGTCAATATTTAAATAATTCCCAATAATATGGTTCCTTAATCGAGCAAAGGATAAATATGGCAACTGTGCATTGAACTAGATATAGCAGATAGTTCATCTTTTACACTTTCTCTGCACATAGTTTCAAGCAACATCATTACTTTGCAAATGCAGTTATCCAGTTAGAACTAAAGCATTCACTGAGATGACAATTTTAAAACACATCAAATTAAAAGAAATAATCCCTATTATTTCATTTCTCTGATTAGAACGACTCTGTTCGTATCTCCATTAATTTGATTTTAAAATGAATTTTTTCACAACTATCTTTAGACACAGCACTTATTCCTAACTTTTCAGTACTTTAATTTCCTTAGCCAGTCAAGTCTTCAAAAAAATGCCTATTTTCTCCCAGCATTACAAAAAGCAAAGGCATATTTGGATACCAATATAATTTAGAATTTTAACATATAAGCTATAGGCAATATTTCCATAACTGCACCATCATCTTAATAGGTGGAAAAAAATTAGGACATCCTGTTTATTAAAGAACATAGTAGGGCAGACTTAAAAATCCTCCTAAATTCATAATACATCATATCAACTCTATAAAAAGGAGTCTGAATCACAAAACATTCCTTACATAAAACTAGGTAAGAATAAAAGCAGAGAGGTACTTTAAACTTAATGTAGGAAAGATCTTTTGAACAGTTAGTGAATTATAAGAAGTTTTAAAAACATAGGACTAAAAATGATAAAATTTGAAAGAGGGTCTAAGTGCTGACTTTTAGTAAGATTTCCCTTCAGACAAAGGTATCTGCAGTTTTAAATCTGTGATGTAAATTAAAATCTACAACAAATTTTCTCAAGAAAAGCTATCTTTTATGTGAATACTTCTGCAGTGAACAGTCTAATGTCAGGTCCCTCTAGACGATGCCTAAGAGCTGTGCCACTCTCAGTAACCATCATCCCTTCTGGAAGCTGTGAAGTAAAAAGTGCCTGAAGACA